AACAATTCTTCTCCCCCGAGTTACGTCTTCCGCCGTTTTGGAGAGTATCACAATGCATACGCACACTTTCCCCTAAGCGTAAACAACGCTGACTACACAGATTACGTTATTTTGCGCTCGCATTCTCCCCCGTACGTAAACAACGCTGATTACGCAGATTACGTTATTTTGCGCACGCATTCTCCCCCGTACATAAACAACGCTGATTACGTCGATTACGCTCTTGGGTACTCTTCAAAATGGCGGAAGACGTAACTTGGGGGAGAAGAATTGTTAAATAAATTATTTTTGTTTTCTTTGCACTCAAAAAGTATTCTCGTAGCTTCGCAAAACTGAAGTTGAGAGACTGATGTCAAATGGACTGTTTTACCGATGTCCTTACTACGTTTCTGGACTTGGGAACATTACAGTTGCGTTGCTGTCTATGCAGGGTCTGAGAGCTCTCACATTTCATCAAAAATATCTTAATTTGTGTTCCTAAGATGAACGAAGGTCTTACGGGTTTGGAACGACACGAGGGTGAGTAATTAATGACAGAATTTTTATTTTGGGGTGAACTAACCCTTTAAGATTTTTTTAGTATCCACCTTATTTTTAATGTAAGAGCTGGTGTGGCCAATTGTTAACATGAATGTGCAAAGGTTTCTGTGTTGTCTGTTATTTTAGCTGTACAAGCACAGGCCTTTATGCTGCCTAATATTGTAAATTGGTATATCTTATCGTATTTTATTTTAGTTGATATCATAATCATAAAAACACTGGTTTGTAGTGCAAGTAGATTTACTGTTTAGTACACACTTTGTTATTCTTCTAGTTTTCATAATTCCATAGTACAGTGAACTCAACTTAAAAGATCAGGCACAATTTCACATTTTATGTTCTCTTTCAGAAATGGTCTGCTAAGGGTGTGATGAGACTTTGGGTTATGGACTGAAATGCATATTGCTGTTGATTTTAACAGGAAGTTCCTTTATGAGTGCCCTGGAGATTGGAGGACTGCTGGGTAGTTTAGCCGCAGGATTTCTGTCAGATAGAGCTGTGGCAAAGGTGCATTTATACCACCAATATATATTTATACAAAATCTTTATACCATTTTCATCAGAAAATCTGTTTATATTCTACCATTCAGAAGTAGGTTGTGTTTTTTTAAAATGTTTTTGAAGAAGTAGTCTCTAATGGTCATAAAAACTAAGGTGGTGCATTTTCTCGTACTCTTTGAATTTCAGCATGGATTGCGTCTGTATGGTAACCCTCGCCATGGGCTCTTGCTCTCCATGATGGCTGGGATGTGTGTCTCCATGTACCTCTTCCGCACTACTGTCACAGCACACAGCTCAAATGTAAGTTCACACTAAAAATGAACAAAACTGGCAGAAAATATTCCACCCGCAGCCCACATCGTGCAATAGCAAATTATATTACTGGGTTTGACTTTAAACTAAACCCTACTGGATGTTTTTTTTTTACAGACAAACCTGACCCAACAAAGTTTTGCCCAAACTTTCTGTTGCAATATGTCAATGCAGGAAAGAAGACTGTGTTTATGGGTTCTATAATGTACTGGTTTTATTACAATTTACACACAGGTCTGGATTCTATTGCTGGGTGCTGTTTTTGGCTTTTCTTCCTATGGACCTATCGCCTTGTTTGGAGTTCTTGCGAATGAAAGCGCTCCATCGAACTACTGTGGGACCTCTCACGCCATTGTGGCCCTGATGGCAAACGGTGATCATCATCTCAATTTTTTTACAGCAGCAGTAAAATTGTACTAACCTAATTTTACATTAGTTACATGGAACTTTTCCATTAGTTACATTTTGACTTTTACTCATTTCCAAAGAAAAGTTACATGTTAACCATTTGCCCATTTCGAAAAATACTAATGAGTTTTTTTTGCATTCGTTTTGCTGGCAGTTGGTGGTTTCCTGTCAGGGTTGCCATTTGGAACCATTGCTAAACACTATGGCTGGAGCACAGCATTCTGGGTAGCAGAGATAGCCTGTACTGTCACCACAGTTGGATACTTCCTGCTCCGGAATATCCGCACCAAGATGGGAAGTTTACCCAAGAAGGCCGACTAAACATTAGGAGTATTATTTAAATATCTTTTAACTAGTTTTTAAGATACGGTATGAAAAATAAAGGGCACAACTTGGCTAGGATTTTACTTTTGTTTATGAAATATAATAAATTCGCTGTGGATATCTATTCCCAAGGTATTACACTATTTTAGCGACATATGAAATAGGATACCATGTTGTGTCACTTTCTGCACATCATGTTATTTATTCTGTTCATTTTAAAAATGGATGACAGTATTTTACATTGTTCTGAATCTGCTCACTCAGTGCTTACATTGCACAACTTTGTCTTTTGGTTAAGGCACGTTAAAGCCATTTCTTCACTGGTATTAACATTTTATTGCTATCGAAACAGGTAAAATAAATAAACGTATTTCTTGTACCTCCCATCCATTTTAAAGCTTTAACTGGTCCTCTGTATCTGCAGTACTACAAATTCATAAACGTATCTACTGAAATGTGACAACGTGTTATGTCACATGAATGTTTAATAGCACAATGAAATGAGTTTATATAAATAAAAAAGTTAGAGAAACTGATCAAGGTACAGTAGACTTTTCATATTCTGCCGACAGAAGGCGAATGACATGTACATTTAATTTAATGAATGTAAAGACGCTAATAAACATGTTTCAAAGAGCATGTATTGTGCATCTTCAGCTGCTCTGTCTTGTATAGATGTTCTGCACATTACAGACTTAAACGGTGTCTATGTACATTATTTACAAATATGTTTGTCACTGTAAATTTTGGATGCAATTTCAAGAAAAATGTTCATAGTTGTCTTTAAGGTAAATCGTTTGAGCTTGAGGAAAACTCTTGTTCATATTCCTTGTTGATTCCTTTAAGTTTGTTCTGGACAAGTTTGACTTCAGAGCATCTGGAGATCCTGTCAGGTGAATGACTTCAATGCAAGTCCAGCTCAGGACCCGGGTCCAAATGTTCCGGCTTTCTCTGCTATCTCCAGGGCACTCTTCAAATTTTGGTCAAAAAGCTCACATCTGAAAGAAATTATGATTTTTTTTTTTTTGTTACACACAGCACCTTTGTGGAAATCGACAAATCGGACTGCATGCAAACCACAAAATTATAACAAACAAAAAAATGACACACCTGATAGGCATTTCTAAAGAGTAGAAAGGATTCTTCAGTGCAAAGTCTGAGTAGATCTCATAAATCTTTCTTAGAAGGGCATCAATACCAGACTGTCGAGGGTCAGCCAATACAATGAACTGTATACCTGCAAAATAAAAAAAACAGTTGTCAAAATCACTGGTTTTGTTCAGCACAACATTCTATGACTAAATATAATTTGCCCTTACAACAAGAGAAAAACAGACCTGTGAGTGTTTGAAAGCAGTGCAGTTTAAACATGTCTGTCTCCCGCATTTCAATGCCAGAGCTGCCAACTTCAGGTGATAATTGTGATCCAATGGCAAACAGCCTTAGAAAAGACAAGAAAATATATATCTAATCATCACAGGTACGATGCAGGTACAACCGTATTTTGTATATTATTCATGATCAGGGGTTTATTAAGAATGTTATGCTTCTGATTATGAGTAATGTATATATTACACTACCACTCAAAAGTTTGTGATCAGTAACCTTTTTCTGTTAAGAAATTAACACTTTTATTAAACTGATCAAAAGTGATAGTAAAGAAATTATTTTGCTACAAAAGATTTTGATTTCAAATACATTTTGTTGAATTTTCTATTAATCAAATAATCCTGAAGAAGAGTATCGTGGTTTCTAGAAAAATAGTAAGCAGCACAACAGTTTTTAACATTTATAATACGGTAGTAAGAAATGTTTCTTGAGCAGCAAATCAGCATATTAGAATGATTTCTGAAGGATGATGTGACTTTGAAGACTGGAGTAATGATGCTATGCATGTATGTGTACTGTGTATATTTAATATGTATATATAAATACACACACATGCATGTATACATTTCAGAAAAAAATTTATGTTTATATATTAAATATATTTATTTATCATATAAATTATATGAATATAAATATAGACATGTAAATATTTTCAAAATACATATTGTATGTGTGTGTATTTATATATACATAATAAATGTAATATGTGTGCACACACACATATTATGCAAACAAAAACTTTTATTTTGGATGCGATTAATCGTTTGACAGTACTAAACAAATAAATATATATATATATATATATAAAGTTATTTTGCATTGTAATAAAATACTGCAGTTTTTACTATATTTTGATCAAATAAAAGTAGCATTGGTGGACATAAAAGACTTCATAAAAAAAATAAAATAAAATCTTCCCGACCTCAAACTTTTGTATGGCAGTGTGTATAATAAAATACACTGCCTGTCCAAAAAAGGTCACACACTCTAATATTTTCTTGGACTGTCTTTCCAAGAGTTGCATTAATTTTTGCCCAAATTAAGAGAGTTGAACCACTCTGTAATGTTCACTCCAGCACTTCCTAAAGACTTTCAATAGGGTCAAGCTCAGGAATATTATTTGGCCAATTCATACATGAAAATGATATCTCATGCTCACTGAACCACATTTTCACAATTTGGGTCCAATAAATCTTGGCATTGTCATCTTGGAATATAATATACACATGGATTCGTCTTCCAACATGGTTGTTTAAGAAAATAAAAGCTACACACTGCATCAGTTAGGGCTAAAAGAACTGTTGCAAAATATACAACATGCCAGAAATATATTAATCACTTCAATAATGATCCCATCCTAGACTCCTCAGTTTTTGCTTATTTAAATCCTAATGGCAACTTTTTATTGATTGATTGATTGGTTTATTGGCCAGTCAGTGTATTTTATGTATGACAATTTAAGTATACAAGAATAAAAACATACCAACATAAGATAAAATAGTTGCGTTGTTCTGTAGAACACAAAAGTGGATGCCTTAACATCTCCTAATGTGTTTCAGTGACTGAAGTACATCATACCTGTTTGAAACAACATTACAGCAATGGGTTAATTTTGCCCAAATTAAGAGAGTTGAACCACTCTGTAATGTTCACTCCAGCACTTCCTAAAGACTTTCAATAGGGTCAAGCTCAGGACACTGCGGTGGCCAATTCATACATGAAAATGATATCTCATGCTCACTGAACCACATTTTCACAATTTGGGTCCAATAAATCTTGGCATTGTCATCTTGGAATATAATATACACATGGATTCGTCTTCCAACATGGTTGTTTAAGAAAATAAAAGCTACACACTGCATCAGTTAGGGCTAAAAGAACTGTTGCAAAACATACAACATGCCAGAAATATATTAATCACTTCAATAATAGACTCCTCAGTTTTTGCTTATTTAAATCCTAATGGCAACTTTTTATTGATTGATTGATTGGTTTATTGGCCAGTCAGTGTATTTTATGTATGACAATTTAAGTATACAAGAATAAAAACATACCAACATAAGATAAAATAGTTGCGTTGTTCTGTAGAACACAAAAGTGGATGCCTTAACATCTCCTAATGTGTTTCAGTGACTGAAGTACATCATACCTGTTTGAAACAACATTACAGCAATGGGTTAAACTATTGTTTAATGAAATCTACTCACGAATGAAACATTGATGCCAGCACGAGCTTCTCATTGGAGGTGAGATGAGGTCGCCCAAATCTGATGGACACTGGATAGTTGGCAGGATCTTTCAGATATTCCAGGATCTCTTTCCCTTCAGTGGTGTATTTAACAGTCACATCCACCCCGTTAATAGACAGAACCGCATGACCCACTGCACACGAGAAACACATGCTCAACAGATGCTGAACTGCAGCGATGGACCTTTAACTAGGCCTGTTTTTACGATAACAAATTTTTGTTGTGTGATATATTGCCCCAGAAATAATTGCGATAAGCGATATTATTGTAATTTTTACATTTTATGCCACTGAATATATAATCATAATGTAACAGCATAATAATGCAAGAAGGCCTTACTTCCAAATGACAACAAACTCGAATTGTTAAGAATATTTAGATCATGGAAATTAATTTTTCCCTGACCTTCTTTTCTCTGTAAATTAAGGGTGCACACTATTGCTGAAAAACACAATCACTACTCAGCAGTCAGATGTCCGTATGCACTAGACTGGTGCCGGTATTCGGTAATGCGATATATCACGGTAATGAATATGCACGATATTGTTATCGTGGGCTCTTCTAAATACCGTGAATAATTATATCTTACAAGTTATTCAGAATTTTGAATGCATTTTAAGAATACTTTTCCCATCAACTGGTCAAAATGCACAACACCGCTGTATGCTGAAGACGCGTGCGCACTCTGATGTAAACAAGCACGGACGAGAAGCGTTAGTTAACATTACTAAACATAAACTGCCAATGAAAAATTCTTCTGAACATTCATTCATCTTAGATATTCCAATATTTATTAACACGTTGTTAAAATCGAAAGTTGCAACTGTGTTATTTAATGAGCTAACATGAACTAAGACTTAATAACTAATAATTAATAACTTCTGTAGCAAATGTAGCTATTGCTCATTGTGAATGTTAATGCATTAACTAAGGTTAACTAATGAGGTCTTATTGTAAAGTGATACCTATTGATCTTTATAGTTCTTTTGCACTTTAATCCGTGTAAAACTTTTAGCTTTATACATTTTTCTGTACTGCTTTATTGCATTTAAATGTTCAGTTATTTTTATTATAAGAAAAAAGTTATTAAACCTGTTATACTGTATTGTGACCAGAGGCGGACAGTAACTAAGTACATTTACTTGAGTATTCTACTTAAGTACACTTTTTGAGTATCTGTACTTGAGTATTATTTTTTCAGGAAACTTATGACTTTAACTTCACTACATTTGAAAGACAAATATTGTACTTTTCACTCCACTACATTTCTATCAAGGTCCTCGAAGTAGAAAGTCATTAGCAGCTTTGAAAGTCAGTGGGTGATTTTTTTCTTCTCTAAAACGTGACTTTCTTTTTTCAGACAGTTTATCAGTAATCACTCTTGGGGCTACATGAAGTGATTTCCCAGCATTTTGTTGAGCACTGACCAGTTCCAAATGTGATATTTATTTACAACAATTCAATAATAAGAAGTTAATATTGTGGTTTATATTAGACACAATATTGTCTGATTTTGCTAAATTATATAAGTGAAAATATTATCTATAAAGACACAGAAGAACTGTTGTGCATCTCCTAATAAAACACAAAAGGTGTTTGACTGAAGCAGCACTGCACAGACCATTCTGTGTGTGACATCAAAGTACAGCGAGAGCGATTAGACAGCATTTTTTTTTACATTTTTGTTTTGATGCCAAATAAGTCTTGCTGTTTTGCATTTTTGTTAAAGCAGTGTTGCTGTTGTACAGCTACAGTTGTGTTGCTGGGTTTTAAAGCAGG